AGAATTAAAGAAACAAGTAAAGGGAGGCCAATGAAGGGGAAAGTATGAAGATTTTGGGAAGGAACAAAGGAGATGGATATATATTTTCTTTTCTTTTCTTTTCTTTTTGAGGGGAATATTTGTTCAAAGTTCAAACATGGAAGTCAATAACGTACAACAGACAAGGCAAACGCCAAAGAGACAGGAAACAGGAGAACAAGGACCACTGTCATTTCGTTTACATCAGGATTGAAGGAGGAGGTTTTTCCCCACTCTCTCTCTCTCATTTTGGTCTTGTATACAATTTTTTTATTACAGTTGTATTATATTGCAAGGGTGGAGAGGGAGGGTCAAAATGGGATACGGCCTCCTTAATTTTTTTAAATTTTTTTTAAAAATATAAAAATTATATTTTTTAATTCTTTGAAGTTGATACATTATAAAGTTATAAAATATTAGATGAAATTCTCATTTTAATTTAATAAATAGTTTTTTCACACATGTATAAAATAATTATTTCAATAGTTTAAAGATATAATTATTATAAAATCTACTCATTTTTAATAAGATAGTGCTATACATGCTCTAAAAGTATTTTAATCTCATTTTATTTGTTTTTTATTTTATAATTATTATTAACAGACTTATTAAGTATTGCAATAAAAATTTTAAATATATTGAATGCCAAGTACTTGATATCTATTATAAAATTACTTATCCAAAATTAAGAGGTTTGATGAAAATGTTCTTCTAAAAAATATTACTTTTTTTAAAATAATTAAAAAATTTATGATATGGATAGTTATCTTTGATATAATTTGTTCTCATTAACAAAAGATTTATGACAATTAAGCAGTACTAATGTGTTAATATATTTATTTATTACAATTATCAATTAAAAAAATTAAAAATAAATTTAATAAGTAAGTAATATAACTTAATACATTAAATAGAACTTTAGATTTTAATAATATACTTTAAACCATGTAATGCTCACTATTACAAATAATAAAATTTTCACAAATTTAATGATAATTCATATTAAGAATGAAATTGCTAAAATATTTATCGTAAAATATAATAACTTGTAATTTTTATATCATGAAAAATTAATAAGTAAAATTATATATATATATATGTATGTATGCATGCATGCATGCATACATATTGTTATACATGTGTAAAATTAAATATAAATATATGTTGTTGAAATATTTATATTATGTCGGGTGATATATATATATATATATATATATATGAATTTTTCTTTAATTATCATATATATTTTGTTATCTTGACCCTTTTTAATAAAATTTCTAGCTCTGCCCCTAGTTGTATACCGTTTTTTTTATATTATACAGAGCTAGTGAAGGGAACTATACTATTCATAACATGTAAATAATGACTTGCTATGAATTTCATTTTATATACTCACTCCATTCAAAAATATAAGACATTTTTTGAGGAGTTAGATGTTCAAAAATATAAGAAATTTTTAATCTTTTGAGATGTAATCATTGCCTTTCAAAAGCCCCCTATTAATAATAACTTTATATTTATTATAAATGTTTAATAGAAAATAAATATAAAAAGATAAGGTTAGTTTGAAAGTAGTGACTACTTTATTAAAAAATAAAATTTAATTAAAAATATATTATATTTTTAACAGAGAAAAATAATATTATAATAGGACATTTTTTAGTGACTGAACTGGTAAAATTTGGAGAACGGCAGTAAAAGCCACTAGAAGAGGGGGGGAAACGGCAACAGAGGCTGTGAACAAATCAATTTTTTTTTTCTATGCACAAATCAATTGATAAATTTTTAATTTTATATAGATGACCTTTTAGCTGATTAGGGTTTTTTTTTTTCGGTCTTTTGGAAACTTTCACCATCATTCTCCCTAAAATTTTCTTGGATTAAAGAGCAATTTAATTTCTAAATTATAGATTTAAAAGTATCTGAGATATTAAAATATTATTTATATATATTTTTTTTTAACTTTTAAAAATGGTACAATGCCACCTTTATTATTAAAAAAAATCAACTTTGAGCATTAGTTAACCAAAAAATAATAAAAATACTTTGAAAATTATAAAAAAATGACCAAAAAATTATATATACAGGACCCACAAAATTATAGAAAATGAGCAAGAAATTTTTTTAAAATTTTGAGGGTTTTTCTGATCAACTAATGATTAAGTTAACTTTTATTAATGTAAGGGCAACATTGTACTGTTTCTAAAAGTAAAAAAAAAATATTATATAAAAAATGAGTCTAGACTCCTTGATGTACTGGGCCTAAATTTATGAGCCAAATTTCCTTTTTACCCAATTTTATTATATAACTATTTTTACATTATGTTTCATTTCAAAGCTACTTACTTCGTAATATTTTTTATCCTTTCCATGTGAATTTTTCATATAATTATCTGATAAAATCATATCACCGGGTCATACTAAAAGCATGAATTATACTATTTTACACTATAGGCCATGGCTCATTGCCTCATTCTAAAAGGTTGATTTATAATTAATGCAAGAAAATACTATTCGGATTTCGGATTATACTGCTAATGCTAATTTAAAAAAGCTCAACCGCCAAATCTAATCTCACAGAAATTAATGCAAAGAATCTTTATTTTGCTTTAAAAAAAACTGTAATACCCAACCTTACTCAACTTATCATTATTTGTTTGGTAAGAATTAAAAAGTCATGAAGGCTGAATCAGCTTCGACTTACGAGCATACATGCACTGATTATAGTAAGATTAATTTTGTTCTAAATAATATTTAATTGAAATTTTAAAAATCAAAGAATCTTATTTCAAAAGTGGCAGAATTTGTCTTAAAAGAATAAATTGATAACAAATATTTTTTTAATTTATTAATTTAACGTTCCATGAATGGAGAACGGATGACCTCAACTGAAATGTGAATTCCTCGTGCCTCTCTTCCCTTTTCTCGCTTTTCCCCACCCTCGGCCCTTCATATTTACTTCTCCTCCTTTGCTTAATTTTTAACTATTAAAGTAAATTTGAATGGTTTAGATTTTTATCTTTTACAAAATATTTTTTTGTTTTGTTTTTACTATATTTTTTTATTTTTAATCGTTCATATTAAATTTTAGCAGATTGAATTTTATTATCTACAATTTATTATTTTAACAATATTTTATAAGAGATTAAATCTAAACCATCTAAATCTTTATTCAATTGCTATAAAAAGAAAAGAAGGAAAGAGGATGGGAAAGGAATAAGAGAGGATCCTTAGTTCCTTACCCCTTAGGAGACCACAAGGGATGTCATATTCTTGCTAACTATGTGAAAGAGAAAACTAATAATTTGATCTCTATAATTTTAATTTGATTGACCTATAAACTTTAATTTAGTACAACCCAATTCTTACAATTTATCTGAATTAAAATTTAATTCTTAAAATTTAATTCAATATAACTCAAACTTTATAATTTTAAGTTTTAATTATTTAAATTATTAGTTTCTAAGTTTCGACCAATAACTTTAATTCTTGTAATTTTATTTTTTTAAAATGCAAAAATTATAAAAATTAAGTTACATCAAATCAAAGTTTACAATTGAATTTTAACTAATTTAACTAAATTGCACCAAGCAAAAATTTAAGGATTAAGTTTGAACTAAATCAAAATTATAGAGATTCAATAATTAAATTCCCTATATAAAAATCATGTTATCTATAGATCACAAGATATTGAAAATTGAAACTAGTCATTAAATAGGTCAAAACTAATTCAAAAATCAATAATTAAATTTGTAGTCAAACTATAATTAAACTTATTATAAACAAGATTTCATTGAACTAGTCAAAAATACTAGTTCAATGATTTACTAACTCCATTAACCAAATTGATCTATTTTTCACCAAGATTATCTTTTGCTCCAAGAGGCATGGGTGGCGCAAGTGTAGAACAATCATTTATTTTTTTATTTAAAATGAATAAAACCAAAAAATTTGAGAAAAAAAGATATATTTCTCTTTTTTTTTTCTTTAAACATAAGGCAATGTTTCATTTTTTTTTTAAATAACTCAAATAAAATATATGCATAAAAAAACAAGCACATGCAAATGGGCTCTTAGAACAAAAGCAAAAAGCACTGTTTTAAGATACAGATTGACTGAACTGTCAGACCATCACTTGAAAAAGAAAACAATAGAATTCAACCATTTGACCCATTCTAATTGTTGACCTGAGTTGACTCACTTTGACTTGAGTAGCTTGAAGACCCGGAGCAAAAATCTAAAAATCAGAATAGTTAAACCATTTTGAATCCTTTTTAATATATATATATATCTATATATATGTATGCATGCATGCAATATTATTTTTATTTAATTATATGTCACCAATTCAACCAACAGTATAATCAATTAAATCATGACACCTGTGACCCACTAATTTTTTTGGTTCATTGTCCGACTTGATTTTTAAAAACATTAGTGAAAAGCCCCAGACCCAACAAGGCACCAAACTGAGAACAATAACAGACCCAGAGAGAAGACATAGAGACCTACAGAAGGACAAAGAAGAAAAGCCAGACAAAAGCCAACAGAAAACCAAAAGTAGGACCCCCCCCCCCCCAACATTTCCAAATCGAAGCTCATGCAGATGATGGAAAAAAGCACTTACACAGAGCTAAAAAGTAACCAGTTTAAAAAGTGGCCCACAGAACCCTATAAACGAAAAACATTAAAATATAAAACAAGCAAAACAGTAATAGTAGAAAGTAAACAAGACAATACAGGTGACACTCAAGACTCAATACACAGTTGAATAACAACCCACACATTAGCAACCCCACTAAATGAATGTAATAAAACAAATAACATAACATGTGGGGATCCAAATGGACCCCAGAAAGACCCATTAAACCCCTGAGTTTTTCTTTTGATTACTTAAACCCTTGATTTTAATAAACAAAAAATTCTGCATCTCCACTCAACAGAAACATAGATTCATAAGCCAGCCATAGCAACGATCAAGATTAAAAATTTATCCTTAAATCATCATTCTCAAAGAAGTTAAGAAAGTATGAATATGCTAAGTACAATTATGGCCACGTATCAGCTGTACACAATGCCCCACTTATCATACAAATTATATTGGGACGGGTGAACGACACCCTCATGAATCATAAACTAAACCTATTAACTAATACTAATACAAGATGGTCATAACCCTAAAACCTAAATGCTCTATCATTTTTCATTCCAGACGTGGGAATGAGTGTTATTTTACAATTCTACAGGGTGACTACAAGTGTGTTAAAGTTATGTGGTAGTCATCTTCATTCAAGCTCCCATCTGTATTTGTATTAAAAAGACTAAAATTTGCAGCCAAATCCTCACCGCTTTTGGCCTGAACTTCTCTTCCCAGTACGAGGCTTCCATTTGCTCTGCAAGAGTCAAAGTTATAAATGTTAAAGAGTTTGAGGATGAATTGTACTATTTATCACTCATGCACAGTGCAACTTGCTATAAATTTTGCATGAAGATTGATGAGCAAATTAATATTTTGCTCCTCAAAAGATACACCTTCCCTCAATTTAATCAATTGAAGTTTTGAACGTCTCATTTGAATAGGAGTATTTCATCTTCAATAGCATTCTCATATCAAACCCCTTGACAAGAAATTAACATAAACCAAAGACATGGCTTAGCATCAAAACGGAGTAATTATTAAATGTCTGATACCAAAACATGCAATTATAAAAGCACCAAAGAACATGGTGCTGCTACTTCAAGCTAAACCATCGCATGTTTAAGTACCAAACAATATAGTTTGAAGTTAAGGGATGTCACATCTGTGTTAATGACCTATTAAGGGGTTTAATACATGGACAAAATTGGAGATACAGTACTCATTGGAAGACCAAGACAATAAATATGACTAAATTTTGGAAAACCACCTGGAGAAAGTGCATCTCTGAAGAACCAAAATACTAATTCAGTCAAAAAAAGGGAAGAAAAGTGTGAAAGGTCAAGCTCTTTACAAGAGGTTCATCTTCAGAAATTTCAGCATTCCCAACACCATCAAGACTTGATGACTTTTTATGTGCCCGGTCCATTTCTTGGGGACTGCTCTCCTCAACTTCAGAATCAGCCTCTGCTTCTCCATTTGCCTTTTCTCTCATGGCTACACTTGATTCATCAACTTCTCTCCCATCTGAACCACTCTCTTCGACATTTTTAACACCTTGGGGGACAGTCTCTCTATCCTCAGAAAGCCTTTCGTCAAATTCCTGCTTCTCTTCATCAGGGTCTTCTTCCATATAACTTGAGGCCTTCTTTTTTTGAAGTTTGTTCCCACTTGAAACATTTTTTACTTTCTCTTTACCTTTGTTGACGTGTCTTATGACTTCATCTGATAGTTCACCCTGCCTCCCTTCAAAATCACCTTGCAAAGGAAAAATAAAAAGTGTGTGTGAGAGAGAGTGAAACTGGAGCTTAAGTCTACTTACACAACAATGAAACCCAGAGTGCAAATATTCAATAAAAAAAAGAGACTTGGCAATCTACCAATTTATCATCACTGTGCCCATTCATAAATTCTAAACACGTGCAGGTTTTTGCATCAAGTATCACCAGTTTTGAACCTTTTTTACATGAATATGGACAAATTGAAATGACTACTTCTGTAACTTCTTTCACATTTAATGTCCTCCAAATTTCACTAATTTTAAAATTTCAACTTCAAAGCCAATCAATCAGCAAAGAAATCAACACAAGTTTTTGTTACATATTGGGATAGGGTTTGCTCCTGATGTTAAGACAGCATACTTGGTTTGACTTGAATGATTCTATCTGTCAGTAGCAATAAGACGCTATTCTTCCTGCCACGTTCATGTAAATCTAAACATGTCACTGCACAGTCCTACTCGGGGGAAAATATCACTTGCAATTTGTAAACACCCCCTCAATTGACATAAAAGTCTACCAATCAAATTTGTGAATAGCAGAATACCACATGTAACCAAATCAACACGACCGCATGGATCAGTTAGACAGAAAAATATTACAATTAAATGATAGCTTGAGCAAGCCTGAAGATATGAACCTCCAATTTAAGTGACAGCCTGAGCAATAGTTTCATTTCATAGCACAAAAGTGTCTTCTGATTTTTACATAGTAATTCTTTTGTAATAAAGTCTTGTTCAGCCTGTTCTATTCATCTAAAAATAAACAAATAAACTTTTGAAGAATGGAATATCCTCTTTTCTGGCTTTAATACCTCTAACAAATGAAAGAGCAAACATGGGAATTTTTTGCATGAAGATGGATTTGTCAGCAATAAACATGATTAAAAACAGATCAGCATGACTACAGGAATTTCATAAAAGTCATAAATCATTAAATCCAGAGGAGAAATTTGTTTGATACACAATCATGATACTGAGTATGGGCCCAGCGTTGCATGCTATATGAGGAGGCTCAGGACTGTATGCCAGGATCCGAGCAATTAGAAAGGGTTATTGAGGAATTGTGTATGGGTCTGTTAGAGGGGAGAGTAGATTGTCATTAGGGGGGGATTGCTGAGATTTTGCTTTCTTCTTCCTGCAACTAGAGTTTTCTCCATTAAACCTACACTCTGTGGAAGGTTTTATCATCCAATAATACTATATCAGAGGCTGTTTCCTTCACACGATCACAAATGAAAATCAAGGAAGCTAACATGCAAAGCATATTCTCCAATGATGCAATACCTGAGTCCGTCTCATCAGCTTTGGATGTCATGGTCGTGTCAGAACTCTCTTTGATATCCTCACGGTGAAAATTACTATTTGACTTGCCTTTTTCTCCAAGTTTCACATTCTTTCTTGAAGATTGTTCACCATTAATTCTATATCAAATACACAAACTAAAATGACTAACATATAAAACATAATCACAAATCTCTAGCAATGATCTCAGATTATTCACTCACAATTTTTTTGATTTTTTACTCTGTGAACCACCGGAGCTTTTATGTTTCTGTCCAGATGACCTGTAAAACACTCAAGAAACTCAACCATCAAAAGGAAGGTAGCTTTCTCAGAATGGACCATAAGACCACAAAAGAAGGTGAGCACGAAGAAACAAAACATTCCATTAAAAGCAGATGAAATCGTATTAAAAAATTTTTCTTATAATGTAAATGAGTAGATTACACTAAACTCCCAGATTTAGTTAAATTAAACTTAATATCCCTCTTGTTCTAAAAATTGCACTGGGCTCCCTCTGATTTATTCTGTCAATGGACAATGAAAGTAACTTTCTACACAGTATGTACTTCCAAAAACAAAAGTTACTGTCTTTATTGTCATAGAAATAACTTATACCCATTTTGAACCCATTTTGCTGTCTTTGCTATCATATTAGGAATAAAATCAGACACATTTTGTGCAAACAGTTACCTAATTTAGCATAAAACAAATGAGGAGGAAGATTTTTGTGATGTGTGTGCATGACAACGTCACGAGACAAAATTTTTCAAATGAGGGGTATTAAGTGTAATTTGGTCAAAACTTGAAGAAGGTCAGCTTAACCTACTCATGCGATGCTCAATTTTATAATAGATATACCATCTAACATCTGAAACCATCCTGTAGTGGGAATACTTACACTTGATGTGAAGAAAGATTTTTTGAAGATTTTATCTTCTGGAAAGGCAATAAAAGAAGCATCAGATTTCAATGATAACTGCCTTCATTCAATGGAAATAGAAAATTGTAACTGTTCCAGAGAAAAAGAAAAAAGATATAAAATGAGAACCTTAGCAGATTTGCGACCCTTGTCAATAAGCTCCCAGCGCTCCTTTTCCAAACGGAGAACTTCTACATCTCCATCATCATACAATATCTTTGAAATGACATGAAAAGAAAATTGCATCAGGATTGCAAATAGTTGGTAAACACACTAAAAACATAAATATCTTATCATCCAGCTTACCACATGCTTCCCTTTTTGTGAGTCATATGACTTTACAGTGCCTTCATAGAATCTAAAATACAGAGGCAACAATAAGCACTTCAATTTTTCTAAATTAAATTAAAATTATATATTGAAACAAGAAAATGTCAGAGACGTTGGAATCGTGTCCCCAGGATTCAAAGACATGCAAAGAACACAGAGAAAAGAACAGAGAATTCAGAGGGAGAGAGGAGGCAAATTCACTAACAATATTATTCAATAGCAAAAGACTTTCAAATAAAGTTGTGTTAAGAGCTATTTATAGACCACAACGCTAACCCAAAAAACAAAAAAGTAAATGCAATCTTCTAAAATTCTAAGAATTAAATGCAAATACTCTTTAGAATATTCTTGTTTTATATAATCGTACTCCAGAATATTCTGAAATAATCAAAAAGATAACAGTTATATAAAAAGATAACATGTATTCAAACCAAATCCTAGTCCAAATCTAAGAAATCACTCTAATAAAACAAAAATCCAAAATCTAATAAATCCTATATCCCATCATTTCTTCCCCACTTGAAGGAGTTCTCTGGAGAGTAAAATTGGTAATAGCTCCAAGAAAGCAAATTGTTAGTAGGAGATTCCAAGGTCAACATGTGATGGCACATGCAGTAGGTTCTAGTGATGATCTTTAGTGGACGAGCAGTATTTGTGGAGGCAGACACAACAACGATGGTGGTTTGACGACTTGATGGCTAGATGTGGGAGTTCTAACATTGGCAGTGAGTTGATTTATATGAGATTTTGTATTTTACAAGCAGTAAAAGGGAGGTGGAACCAGACTCTGATGCTAAACTGATGCAGAACAGGGGAGGGAAAAGAGAGAGAGAAGAGAAGAGACAGAAAGAGAAGATAACAAAGAACTCAGAGAGAGAGAGAGAGAGAGGAGGCAAATTCACTAATAACCTTATTCAATAGCAAAAGATGTACAAATAAAGTTGTGTTAATCCTAACCCAAAAAACTTAAATGCAATCTTCTAAAATCCTAAGAATTAAACGCAAATAATCGGCAATATACTGGAATAATCTAAAAGATAACCTAGTAATCTAAAAGATTACATTTGTTCAAACCAAATCCCAATCCAAATTTAAGAAATCATTATAATAAAGAAAAAATCCTAAATCTAATAAATCTTATATCCCATCACAGCCATATGCAAGGAATATGATCATAATGTTCAGAACTAGAAAACCATCCTTTTGTCTGTTTTTCCTTATACAGAAAAAAATGGCATCAAAGCCAGTTCTTTTTTCTTTCAACTTCTGCGACTGATCTATTGAATTTATCTTGGACACTTACTGCTTATCCATAGGCCACCAAACTTTGATTCGACAACTAATCAGGTCTTCAGTATCAACTTCACCTTCCTTTGTTGTACACTGTACAAGGGGAGAAGGGGAAGCAATTATAGGTTAAACTAATCAAAGATGGTGCGTATAAAAAAAATCCACACATGGCACAGAGACACCACTGTAAAATTGATTAAGAAAGAAGTCAAGGAAGTTTACCCTTGACAATCCTGCAATACTTTTTCTTTTCTTCTTTTTAAAAGACCCCGTGGAAGACTTGGTGTTACTACTAGAAGTCTTGTCAGTTTTCTTTAGCTTATCAGTGTTCTGCAATAGAGGCATACAATAAGTAGAAGAATACAATACTGAAAACTCAGTCCAAGATTCTACAGCAGCACAAAAGCTACTAGACAGTAAGACTTGACCTTCAAGTCAGGCTCATCAGATTTGAAGTCCTCATCATCATGATAGCTGTCAGAGACTCTCTGTTTTAAGGGGGACACTAATAAACCTGGCTTACTGCCTTTGACCTTCCTTCTCTTCTTAGTTTTGCTATCTGTATCAGGGATAATTTCTGCATCAGAGGGTAATTTGGCTTCAGGGGAGTCTTCTGAAACTGTCAGAGAAGCCTTTGAAGGGCCATTGGATGATCTGAAACTTCCAGGAGTAGAGGAAGACCGCTTGCGCTTGGGCACTTGGATAGGTGTTTCTTCGCTAGATTTTCTTTTTTTAGTCATTGCATCAGCTGAATCCTTCTTCATTTTCTTGCCTAAAGGATCTTCATGACCATTACTCGATTCAAACTTAGAAGACATTCCTAAGTTATCTAAATTGATTTGTCTGACCATTCTTAAGATATCAATATCATTTTCAGCCTTCTCCATTTCACCTGGTACAGACTTACTCTTTTTCACCTTCTTTCTCTTGGTTCCCTGAGATTTTATGTGCTTTATCATTTTTCCGAGAGGCACTTCACTTCCATCCCTTTCATTGTCCTTTAGAACATCATCAGCTAATTCAGATGGAACCTGACATATCAAAGAATCAGTATCACTTAGATCAATAAATAACATGAATGCAAAATTGCCATGCAGCTTTACCATTTGCATCAAACTCACCATTTCTAGTTCAAGTGATTCAAAGTGAGACAACACACTTTCATCCACCAACCAGGTTTTCATTTCGCTAACCTGCTTCAAAGATTCAGATGCATTAATGAGCAAAGCTCTAACAATCTTGCAAATGTTAAATTACAGGGCATGGCTAATTCCAACTGAATTAGCTATTGAGGTAATCAAAATAGACTACTCTTATAAATAACAAGTCATAAGATAGACTAACAACAATGAACAAAAACCCAATCTCATGGCCCATTCATTAGAGACTGGACAAAACTGAAAACAGTCACGTCCACCAAGCGGTGCGATGTAATTCAACCTTATAGAATGCATGTCTTTTTGTACCAAAACCACACAAGATTATCCAGCAGAGCTTGAGAATGACACAAGTTCAACTAAAAGCATCAACTAACTTATGTTTAAAAGCTACCTGCCATGTGAGCATGCCAGCAATTCTTGGGCTTAGTCTACTAATTTTTAGTAGATTACTAGATACTAGACAATGTCTATACAAGAATTTTCCACAAATTAGCAACCCTACAGTACGCATTGTTTGTTCCAGCACAAAATTCCTGACACACAAGATGAAAACAATATAATTTCACAAAAGAAATACCATACCGAAAAGTCATCTTCCTTCTTCTCACATGCCTTGTATAGCATTGAGGGCAGAGAGACTGAAGTTGACAATCCTTCCAAATCAACATCCTTCTGAACTAGCCGTTTGGTGATTGCCACCCCAAGGTCACATATAGCGTGAGAACTCTGGAAATTCATTGATCACAATAGTAAGGTTCCAATTTCATATCAGACACAACTATGTCAAATATTGTAATGATATCAATCCTCAACCTTCGACTTTGATGAGTCAACTATATCTTCAGAGTGCTTGATACTTTGAAAGATATCAGTAATAGTTGATATATTCTCCTTCTCTTTGTTATTAGTTGTTTCTGACTTGGCATCTTCATCTTTATGTAGTAGAATTGACAGAATCAAGTGCAACTGCCTGAAAGTTCATAACATGATAAATAAGTAGGGAATAGGCATTCTCATAAGTTCCCAGATATCAAAGTGTGCCAACATAAATATACATTAAACTTGCTATATTGACACTATAGTATCCATAAGTAAAATTCAATAAAACTAACAAATGTTAATGTCACAGCCAAAAAAAGAAAAATACATGGATGCGTAAAGATACTTGAGTATGCCGGGAGAGAAAAAATTGAGCATTCTTATGAAAAATAGACATCTAAGGAAACATGTTTACACCACGTAAATGAGCACGCACAATATATATTCTGCATAAGCTTCCCAAAGGATGTGAAATAAAATAATATTATGCAAACCCAGCATCCAAAAAGATCTTCAATATTAACATGGCATAGCTATGCCCAATAACTTATGAATATGAGTCATCACTTCAGTAGTAGTGAATAATACATGACAATTAATAAAACGCCAACATTGATAAGCATGCACACAGATACCTGCATTAAAAGTGTTCATTTTATTCAAAAAAGAGAAAAAAACTAAATTTCTCATTTACTCTCCTCTTCCATATTTCTCTTTTCAACACGGGTTATGTTTTGTGCGTGCGTGCGTGTAGATATATATATTTATTTATGGTTGGGCGGCGGGGTAAGAGATATGTTATATAAGCCACACAGTACCTGTATATATTATCATATGTTTCAACATCCTTGCACTCATCAACGTTGGGACATGTATTGTGCGCAAGTGCATGAACAAGGTATGGAAGGATGTATTCAGGGTAGGTGACCGTGGAATTTGCATCAGATTGCAGAGATTGTTCCCTAGCCTTTGTTTGCTGAAGCATTTGAATAATGTCGGCCAAGTTCTGTTTACCCTGTATGATAAAACAAGAGCAACCATGACAAGCCCATGCTTAAAGTGAAGTTTTAGTTAGAAAAAAATTTAGAAATACAAATGATGTAGCTAATGTTTCAAAACAAAATTACCTCTGCAAACTCATCTTCCTTGGATTCAAATATGCTCAGTATAATGGCACAAGAATATTTGGCATCCAAAAGCCTATCTTTTAGATATTGATGTACTTTGCTTAGGAAAATCTTCTTAGCTTGAGGGAAGTTAATCTGAAAGACCAGATGAAATCAAAAGACAGTTACTTAAAACTTTAAATCAAAATTTACAAATTAATTTTAGCCTAATTAAACAGGTGAATAGAAATGATTCATCTAAAAAATTATAATTGCTCAAAGAGAAACTAATAGCACCAAAGGAACCTACCTTAGATGTCCCCAAAGTTAAGTAGAAAAGACCAACAGGTATCTTGTGATCCCACTGTCTTGACAAGCGAAGAATAGCCTTTGCAGATGCGAGTCTCAAATGAGCCTTATCAACTGAACTGTAAGAAGGCGTAAATAAGTGCATAAACTCATTATCTAATACAGAGTGGGAAAAAAAAAAGAACGTGGTCAATGTCAAATATATTGATTAAAAAAAATTATATTTCCATGAAGTAGATATACCTAGACTGTATGTCACTAGATATTTCACCATAAGTTAACATGTTCTTAAGGATATCCAGAAGACCATCTATACCAGAACGAACATGGGCATCTTTAACTGGCAAGTAGCTCTTTACTAAAGCTTTAATGCCATATATCTGCAGCAGAGAAAGAGAAATGGAAAGGGGAAAAAATAGTATGAACTGTCCAAATAGAAGTGAATTTATAAGCATTTTTCAATGTACTGCATTATTCATGCCAACCCAAGTATTCTTAATTCAAATTTAGAAAAGACTACTCTTCCTATCTACCTTCAACATGCAAAGATCACTTCGATCATCCCAAGATACTCCTGCATCATCTTTCTGAAAAAGTGAAGCGAACATGTAGAAAAAATTATGTTCTATCCAAGCTTTCCTCATAAATAAGAGCGCCATTCAAGGGATTTTGAAAGGCTTACACTATCACTTTTCAAAATCTTGTTTATCACATATTCTTCAACTTCACTCTCTCTAGTTTCAAAAACAGGCATGGCAGTTTGCGCTATACATCCTAGAGACTGTAGTACTGCAGGAAGATGTGTTTTCTTCTCCAGCATATCTACAAGCCTCTGCATGAAAGGTGAGAATAATCAAAACAATAACAACAAAGTAAAATAGTCTGTAAGACCTGCAAATAAATCGCATGGAACCTTATATAGAACAGATAGAGACTTGAGCCCATCATCCTTTGTTATTGCAGCCAGTGCATGCACAGCATACTTGGCCTGTCTCCGACTACCTTCTAAACACAGCCTCTCCAGTATAAGGTCTACAGAACTGCATGAAGAAGAAGATTATATCGAAATCTATAATGAAATACAGATAAACAAATATAACAGTTTTGACATTAGCACCTTGATGTTACTGCAAGTTGTTCGCGTACTGTACCACCAGCCTTTGCTAAAATATGCAAAACACCTTCTATAATCATTTCGTTGCTATCCTTAAGTAAACACACAAGTTCCTCCTCGCTGCCATGAAGAAGCAATGGACAATAACGAGCAATTATCTGCAGTTTATCCAAAGGGAAGTGATCAAATAGAGTTAGAGAAGGTAAAATCCACTATTTATGATTTCCATGGCCATAATCATACAGCCTAAAGCACTCTTAAAAAATGACTAAAACATTTGACAAAATAGGAAACAGGGTATGGCAAAGATCCAAGCATCATAACTCATATGACACACTACCCTCTCCCCTCCCTTTTTTGCCCACAGATACCATTCAATCAACAGCAAGCAGAGGTATAAAGTCAGTGGGTACTTTTTCCCCTTTCCACCTACTGTGGTGATAAAAGCTAAGAACAACAAAATGAATCAATATAGAAGCTAAGAAGTACTATATGTAATGAAGAATAAAATTATAAATCTACAGATATTTGAGAACCATGGAATGACATGTCCTACCACCAATATATTCATGCAAGATTGTATATATTCTGCATTATCTGAAGATTTTTTTGCAAAAATTTCGGAGAGAATCGCTTGCACATGCTCCTTGTTGAAAAGTAAGTAAGAACACTTCACAGAGAAGTTCTTCAGGAAGTCATAGAGCCGATGTTTCTCACCAAGTATTTTAAGCAAATCATCCTGCAAACATATAACCAAAATCAGTCCACAAAGAAATGCAAACTACAGTTCCTTCATTTTCTTACTCAGAACAGAATCACGAGGATTGATTTGAATCATGACTTCCAAAAAAGGAATATCAACCATTTGCAAAACTATGCCTACCAGCCTCTGATTAACATACCCTATTGGCATGAGCTTCATGCAAGCTGGTATTTGGATCAACAAGATTCGTCAAAATCTTCCAAATATTAGCATCTTTTAATTGATCAAGAATTTGGAAACTCTCTTCAGCCTTTGCAGGGTCCACAAATGAACGAGACATTACACGGAAACAGAACAGAACTTTTTTTTGAATCTCAGGAACATCTTTATCCTACATATAAACACAATCAATGCCTGAGCTCATCAAATTTCATTCAAATAGATCATCTTTATAATTTGTGAAATGACTACCTGACTCATCTGCCTAAAAGACAGATACTTCTGCATCTCTTGCTGTAACCTGGCAGGCAAAGAGGTACAGTGAAACCTGAAACTTCATTGCCACTCAACATTGATAAGCCATGATCGACCAAGCAGAACCATACCTTTGTCTCTGCTCCAATACCTTCTCAAGAGCTTTGAGCTCCACTTTATCCAATCCAGAGAATATCCCAACCCAATGTTTAACTATATCATTAATGGAATATTGTGCTGGAAACAAGGACTCACACAGAACAAATTCAATTATATCTGATCTGCAGCACAAAGTGATCAGGAGGAATGTTAACCCGGATGCTAATATAAAACTCACCACCAAAGTATTCAACTCTATCCATTGTACCCTTATATATATATATATATATATTTCTCAAAATGCCACTGGAAACTTGAGTTACATGTGTGCAGAAAAACACAAGGGAAAGCAAGAACTTTGCAGAAAGATAGAACCTTGCATAACATGGGAATCAATGGCCCAGTGTTAAATTGACTAGTCAGCCATCAGTTATGTATGCTTGCATATCAAGCAATTTTATGAATAAAATAGCAGCTTGCAAATGATACAACAAGTTATATCAAGTGGTCACGTAGTTTTTATTTCAAGTTTCAAAGCTCCTCCATACATTCTCTAATCTCAAAATGAAATGGAAGGTTTGGACCAAAAGACGCAACAAAATATTATCTTGTTTCTCTTAATAGCAGAGATGGTTTTACATTCATAAAATATATAAATTAAATTACAGGAGATGAGGTATAATCAACACTTGTATTATTCAAATGCAATTTCTTGTCATTTTGAGTTTGCCCTCCTTCTGAGAGACTATGATTTAGAACGTTACTAACTTTTCATGGGCAATGTCCAAGACAAACTTGACATAAACTATTTGCCACAAGCATAAAAATAGCATTGAAATGATGTTTTATAGTTCTCAAATGAATAAAGCCATAAAGGCTAAATTATTTTCAAGATCTTTTGGAGTTCTGGATCTTCTAAAATCTGGGAAATAAAACTGCACTATATGCAGCTTTGGACTGATCAGAAAAATCAGCGAACAGCCAGTTAACCTTTCAAAGCAATCTGCCAGTCAATTCTAATTGACTGCTAAAAACTAGGCATGGTCAGGGCTCACTATATTGTTAACAAACAATACTGGTTTGTGCTTCCTTTGTACATATGATCGAAAAAAAATGCAAATAAATGATAAAAATATATATTCTCCCGTAGTATAAGTATTAGGTACTTCACCTAAAATCTCTGTCATAGAAACATCTGAGAATCTTCCCTGGAATCCAATCAAACTCATTGGGATTTACTGAGCTGACAGAGCTCTTCTCACAAAATACTCTATATACCTCAGCCAACCTATCCAAAGTATACCCTTTAACAAGTAGCTGGAAATTCAAAGCAAAACAGGGAAGTGGAAATCTGTCAATTGCAATCAACAAGTATTAAGAAATGCCAGTAAAGGAAAAAAGAATGAAGATAAGGGGAAGCAAACATACAGATTTGTCACGAAGGCGTTCTGCAACAAGTTTTACAGTCTCAAGAGGAATTGTGTTAACAGAATGACATGCAACATCACAGATAACAGCCACAACTTGTTTCCGAACAGTTTCATCGAAATCCAAAAGCCGATCACAAAGGGCAGCTAAAGCATTTGAACAACATAAAATTAGCATAAACGTTACAGTTGTAAACACAGACTGAATATCTACATGTTATATGCACTCACAGATTAGTTGAGGGGCTTCGGCTCTAACAGGATCTGACAGCAAGCAGCTTTTTACATATTCAAGGACAGACATGCGAACCTCAACAACTCTATCCGTCAACCTTTTCAAAAATTCCGAAAATATAGGCAGAAACACTTCGGGGATGGAAGATCCAGGACGAGAGATTATATCACCAACCAAACTCACTGCTTTCAAACGGGTTTCCAGTTGGTCTGTCTGCAGATATCCAAATTACTGGTAAAAATACATTCATTGACTGAGTGACAGTCTCCAGTTCATAAATTTGCCTCAAACAAATGATGTCAGCAAGGAAAACAAAAGGGTTACTCTTAGAAGTGTGATTGTAGAGATTTATGAATTCCAATACCTTAAATCTCAAAAGACATAAACTTAAGAAATAAAATATAAAATGAATCATCTTTAATTGGCAATAGACATTTACTTGATTCTAAAGACAATATAAGCCACTACAGAAACCATAAAAAATCCATTAGGAAAGCCAATAAATCACTAATTACCAGTAGCTCTCCTGTCACATAAGGTAGAATTCCTGATAGCACCTGAGGAGCACAGCAATACAGATCATAAATGACTCCATGGTATTGAACTTGACTATCCATCGGCTTGCTATCTCCTGACATCAATGATAGCACATACTGTTTAATGCAGGGTTCAAGTTTTCCTGCACATTGCTGTATAACATTCATAGCAAGCCTCCTTGCAGCCTTGCTAACACCCTGGAATTAAAATTCCACACAGTCATGTCCATATGAAAAATTAAAGAAGAAGAAGCAAGAAGACTCGCTTGGCAAGAGCATCAGCTATCTGCTTTTATTAGCAAATAAAGCAATACTCACATTTTTTCTTTGACCTAAAGTAGACAGTATAGTACATAAAAGGTCCTCTTGGACATCCTCACTTTCTTCTAAAAGAACAACCATTATCGTTTGCATTGATGAGAGGACAGTTTCTGGATGATCATCTCTGAGTGAGAAATTAAAAAAAATACAATTACCAACTGTCAGTTTAAAGAGAATCTTTCATCGACAAAGGATAACACACAGAAAATTTTTACATATAAGATAATGGCTACAACATGTCTGCCTTGTTCTCAGTCAACCAAAGAGTGATGAACCTGAATGACAAAGGAAAAATGAACCTAGTGTAATAAAGTTTGGTTGATACTTACAATAGTTGCATGTAAAATTTGCTAAACATCTCATTAACATCATTCTTAATATTATAAATTTTAAAAACAAGGACTAAACAGTACAAGGAGCAAAACAACGAGCAGGATGAAGAAAAAGAAAAAGAATATGTCAACAGTTGATACAGTAATAATTGATCGACCAAACCATCTCATTCCTGGAACACAAAAATGTATATTTTGTCTAATCATTTGTAATTCATGTTGTCACTATTTTATGGGCAGACAAGAAAATACAGGCTTCAAAACAAAATGGAAACCAACAACATGTCAGGTTTGTAATTTTGGAATACAAGAATGCTTCATGAGAACCCGACTTTACTACTCTTTAGTTTACATTAAAATCCATATAACTTACAACTAACAAAAGATTTTAAGATAAACAAACCTGGCAGCAGCAAAGAAAGTACTGAACATTTCATTCACCAGATCATCACATTCAAGATCCAACATTACTACACATGATCTATATTTCGCGAGAGTCTCCAATATAACAACTCTCCTGCCAAAGGATGGGCCACTGGTATCACTCAGACCACTAAAAGTGCCAACAATCAACTGAAAGATGTCCTGCAAAGAGGTCAAACAATAAGAACAACTAAACTATAATGCAGCTATATGTTCTTTCCTTTGATTGAACATGAATGGATGACAACAGGTTTTAAGTAAGATGACCCAATTTATATAATCAGAAGACCTTAGTGTATTAAAGGCACCTTTAAAACATCATCACTGTAAGGGGCTTCAGGTGCAGTGATCCGTGTTATCTCACAAGCACACGCTGCAACTAGAAGTTTGACATCCCTATCTTGGTGTTTCAGCAACTCTGGCTTAATGATGGAATTTAAAAAGGGCTTCAATGATTCCATTGTTGATGTTGATGGTGATTGATCCAATTCAATAAGGCATGCTGCCGCTTGCTGCACAGAAAAACAGTGATTAATGAAGTATCATCAACTAGCTCTAGAAACTACAGGGTATAAGAACGTAACACTTCTAATGTTAAACAACATTATGGCACACATTGGGCCATCAAGCTTTATGTGCTCCTGAATGTAAAATTTTTTCCATCTTTGTAATAGCGCATTCATTTGCTATAAAAAAAAGTAGCAAACCTAATAAATGGAAATGCTATTATCTCATATGAGATCTATATACTCAACCAGTTATAGTGAATTTGAGACAGAAAGAGTACAATTTATCATCAATAGAAAGTTCAGTGGCAATCAAAAGATTCAGTAGCGTTTTAGGAAACAACTGCCCCAAGATAATGTCCATATGAGCAACTAAACAGTACTATATGAACTTTTAATCAAGCATTCATTGAAAATCTTATGATATAGTTCTTTCTTCAGACTGCTGACTTCTTAATCAACTTGTACCAGGGTCTTTGGGATTGAACCAACATACACTTCGCATCAGGTGACAGGCTTACAGTACAGGTATTAAGTTATTTCATTCAAGCATCTTTATAAATGAAGACACTAGCTTTTCCAAGAGGGTAAAATCAACAACATGGTAACAAGCGATGTAGATGGCTCATTTAGAGGAGAAGAGAATTTATCACATCAATATTGTATTGAGACTAAGAAACCAGTAATGTTCTTACAATACGAAAGACTTTTGGAGTGATACTGATAAATATCAAGGGTTGTATGAACTACAGATAAGTTGATTGATGATTCAGCTAACTCAAGCGAACAACCTTCTCAGAACGCAAACTCAAAGATTCTTCATAACCTTGCTTCAAAATAACATATGTCTGACACAGCTGATTGTTCTTCGTAATTGCAGAAGGCATAGCGGTAACATAGACTCCCTCCGGTTCTAATTATTAGACAAAGTTAACCAACTTCACTGTTCTTCAGGAATAGTAGTTAATATCCTTAAACTTGTAAATAATGTATGAATTTTCAATTTTGTTCTTCACTAAAATTAATGACAACAATAAAGCGTATCTAGAAATTACAACTTGTGCAATTAAGGAGGGGTAATATTGGAAAAAATTAAATATAAGTACATCATTGCGCTATATTTAAGACCAAATAGGGCTTAAAACTTTGCCCTATAATTAGGACCGAAGGGAGTGCATCCTAAATTCACACTATTAAACCAACTCCACGAAGTAATACTGAATTTTGCTCCCGCAACCCGCTTAGAAGAGAAATTTGATGCATGGAATCAAAATTCGATTATCTCATAGACAATTTAGCTTAATACATACAATTGACATGGCCTTAATTGCAGAAAAATTAGCAGTACAATATACTCTTAAGTTCACACTATACACCAAACCGCAAATAAAAATGGCCCCATTAACCCGTTTAGAAGACCAATTTAACGAATTTCAGCTAAAATCAAATTTCTAGAAGGAAAATTAGCTAAAAACGTAAAAATTGTCATTGCTTTTTCCTCCTCTTCTCCCTGGCTTCCCAGCAGCGAAACAGAAAACAAGCAATACAACTAACCGCGAAGGAGGTTCAAATTTTGCATTGGAAACCCCAATATTTTGAGCCGAGTGAACGGAGAAACCGAGAAAAGAAGCTGCCAAAAATTTAGAGAGAGAAAAAATGCACACCTTTAAGAGCTTGATGAGGCCATCCTTGGTAGCGGGAAGAATGTCCAGCTTGGATCCCAACTCATTTAGCTGCTGCTGGGGCTTCAGAGCCATATCGCAACAGAATAAGATGTAGTTTTCAGAGTTTTAGAAGCTCTTTTCATGAAGTTGCACGTGGTGTGAGGTTTGAGCAGGGAAGCGGGGAGAGAGAGACAAGAGGGCTTGTGTTTCGATTTTCGAACAAGGAAGCAAAATAAGCTCTAAATCCAAGTGAAATTTCACATGCTGGCTTCGGCTAGAGATCTTTTTTTTTTTTTTATTGGGGGGGAACAATCTCCGAAAGTAATTGTAATTGGCCAAAAAAGAAAGTAATTTTAATTATTTACTGTTTTTTTAAAAAATTAATTCTAAATGTAAGATATTTGGTGAGAAATTAATTATATTTTTTAATATTATTTTCATTTAAACTCATGAGAGATAATGTTACATAGATTTAAAAAATTTCATTTAAATAAAAATAAAATTAAAACTTTATTTAATTTTTAAATAAAATTAATAATCTAATCATCCATCTTTAATTTTTGATGAGATTGATAGCAGCGTAAGCTGAGAAGGAGTACACCCATGAATTATGACGCCTCTCCATTTAATGTTTCTAACGTTTGCTGCTTATCTTGGATTGTTTTAGCATATGTAGTACGTTATTTTAGTTTGTCTTGATCTAGATCTTAATGGAATTTATTAATTTTTTTAGAATAAAATTAGTTAATGTTTTTGAAAAAATTATTTATTTCAATCTAATCATTTTTTAAAAATGTTAACTATGATAGCGTTACTTTGAGTAACATGAAGATCCAAGGCATTGGAGTAAGATGAATTTTTTCAGGAAAAATCATGTAAGGTCTCGTAAAGTAGATTTATTCACAAATAAGTCTCGCAAAATTTGAAAATTACAACCAAATTCATTGAAACTTAAGTGTAATTTAAAATTAGATTGCAAAAACAATAATACTCTTATAATACATACATTACATCAATCAAATAATTAATTTACAAATATTTTATCAATAATTTACAACTATAATTTTAATTTTTTACATCAATAACTTTACATGTCTAATAATTAAATAATTATGTGTTGTTAGCAAAAATTAACATTAATTGTTTACAACTATTCCATCAATAATTTATAACTACAGTTTTAATTTTTTACAACTGTGATTAGTTTAACTATTGAATATGTAAAATTACAGTTATAAAAGTTAAAATTATAGTTATAAATTGATAATGAAATAATTATAAATTATTTAACTAATGTAATGTATATATACTTAAAAAGGGCATTATTATTTTTTCACATTAATTTTAAACTATACTCAGATAAATTTAGTTGCTGTTTTCAAATTTTACGAGACTTATTTGTAAATAAATCAATTTTATGATACCTATATGTAATTTTTTCCTTTTTTAATTGTATATTTTAAGTTATGATTACTTTTTTATGAAGTGAACTAATAAACTTTTGTTGTAACTTTTCACAGTAAATTCACAAGCCACTTATTTTATAGTAACCACCCTCTTATCCTTTTCACGGGACCTATTTGATAACTTCACTTTGTGAACAATGTGATTCCTTTGCTCTTGTTTCTTATGAAAGCCTTGTCGCTACTGGTTAATAAGGAGTGATTTCAATTACTAAATCCATTTTATATAGTCTATGGGAAGCATCGGATCATGTAAATCTCTCAAATGTGAGCGTGAGTGTTGGATAATTGTAAAGAACGTGTTATCTCATTTTAGTGCGCTTGCTAATGTTTATATGACGTTTTTAGTCAATGCATTGTCGTGGTTTTTTTTTTTTAATTTGGATTGTTAAGTTTGCATTTATTTTGAGAGTTGCGTGTTTTTAAATTCAATTTAATTTAATGAGATACTCCATTTGGTCTTATTTGTAAGGATATAAGGGTCTCTTCACTTCTTTTCCTTTCTTTTTTGTCCATTTTTGGAATGTAAAAATCCCAACAAGGACATATATGAAAAGGGACACATCGCCGCATCTAATGCATGTTGTGCCATTGTAAACACTATATTTTATCCATACATTTTTTAAAAATTTAATAAAAATATTAATAAATAACCAATATATATATATATATATACAAAAATAAAATTTAATCTTTTTTAGGATTATATTTTTAAAATAAAAAAATTTAATTTAATTGATAGGGTTTAATTTTATTTTAGATATTCTTTTGTTAGTTAGAATTTTAGTTCTCTTAATTCATTAAAATAATATAAAAATAAAATTTAATTTTTTTAGGATTATATTTTTAAAATAATAATAATTTAACAAAATTAAAAAAATATTGTTTAAATCTTTTAAAATCTCTCCCAAATTATCTCAACCATTCAAAAAATATTAGGAATCAACTTTTAAAAATTAACTTTTCTCTTCTTAAATCTTATTTTTCATTTAAATGTGTGTGTGTTAATCTAATTAAAAAAATTAGAAAAAAAAAAGTAATTAAAGGTTGGGTGAAACACTCACCACAGCCAAAAAGAAACAAAGCTTTTAGCGAGAAGACCAGACACGGTAGAGAAAAACTGACCAAGCACACACAGTCACGAAACGCCAGAAAGAAAAAAAACAAGATCAGACTTAAGCGCACAAAGAACACGCGAACAGAAACCAGAGTCACAAAGAGCGAAAAGGCAAAAATGGATACAGAGAAAAGAGAGCAGCACACACATGAAAACACACGGAGAAAAATGTAAGAAGCAAACGAACATAGTAGACGCAAGAATAACATAAGCAGACAGTAGATAGAAACGAAGTCAGACACGCGAGCAAAACAGCAGACAGAGCACGAAGCTTTACCTCTGAAAAAGAAACGCATGCACGTATGAAGAGGCAAAGAGAAATAGAGCACAGACGCTGCACGAAGAAGGAAAGAGAAAAAAAAAGAGACCAAGAGAATTGGAGGAAGTCCGAACAGGGGCCGAGGATGGGAGAAAAAAAAGGAGAAGGAGAGCAGAGGCATAAACGTAGCAGTGAGAGCGAGGGAGAGACCGAGAATGAGAGAGCTAGGAATGAGGATGAAGATTTTGAAACGAAAAAAGAATAGAGAGCCGAAAGGGAAGAGCCAATGGAGGAAGATGAAATCTACCATGCCGTGGCAGTGAAGGATGGGAATAGAAAGCTGAAGCAGAACATAGATTAAGGAGGGCTGTGAGCATGCATTCAAGGCTGAACTTATGCAAGAGGGTGCGTCGGACGTATTGCGTGAGGTGCAAAGATGATCTAGTTAGAGATAAGAGGGGACCGAAACAAAAGAGATGAATGTAGAAGGAAAGGAGAGAGGACTGAGAGCTTAAAGGAAGAGCTGATTGAAAACATCATCCCTGTTAAAGGTTGCAGGTAAAGGCTGTGGCTTGAATAATATTGTTCTCCTTTTCCCTTTTCTTTCCAAGATTTTATGGTGGGCATAAGTTTGCATAAGTCCTTGACTGGCTATTTATAAAATATCTTGTATAATATTACATCTCTTAATAGTTCAAGAATATAATTCTATTCAAGTTTTGAGATTCTTGACGCTTGAGAATTAATCGCTAAGTTTGCCTACTAATTTTAAAAATTTGACATTTCATCTTGTGATCTTTGTGTTTGCAAAATGGACTTGTGATGGTTTGTATTATAAGATATCCAACTTATCTAATCTAAATACATTTAGTTTTACATGATTGATTATCAAATTGCCTTTCAAGCTTTTTAATTACCATGTTTTAGAAAAATGCAACATATGGTAGCATGGTTTAATCCTTATATTAATCTTTATTCATTTATGGTAGTTTATTCATGCATACCAATAATCGTGACTAATAATATACATATACCTCAAGGTGCTTTATGTTTCCACATGTTGTCATGATTTCATTATAAAAGGCTAAAGTATAAAAAGAAAAGAGAGAGAGAGACAGAGAGAGAGAGAGAGATATATATATATATATATATATATTTATGATTTATTTATAGTGTGAGATTTCAAGAGTGTTCGCAAGCATTTAAATTTAAAATGATCTCACACCGTGTAAATCAATAAGATTTTACAGGTATGAAGATCAATATTGTATATATTTATATAGGTTCCAAAGGCTTGTTGTTAAATTAATTCTCTTTTTATAATAAATATTTAAGTTTCATGTGAGATTTTAAAAATCTTTGTAGAAGCTTAAATTAATCACATCATTGTATAGGATAATATATCTTTGCAAATATCATGATTCTCAATTTATATGATAAATAAATAAATAAATTTTTATAAATAAAGTAATAAATATTTTTTAATATCAATTAATTAAATTAATAAATTTAAATTATAATTATATTGTCTAATTAGACCTTTGGTCACGTGAGATTTTTGAAACTTCATAGATCTTTAGAATAGTCGTACTACCATGTGGTTAATAAGGCTTCGTATGTATAACAATTAAGATTTCTATATTTGAAAATACATATTTAAAGTGAATATTATTTAATTCTTTTATTATGCGAGATTTTGAATCTTTGCAGATATTTAAGATAATCTCATATCATGTAAATTAATAAAATTTTGTAAATATGAGAGTAAAACTTCTATGTTAACATGGGTTCCAAAGGCCCATCATTAAAATTAATTCTTTTTTTATAATAAATATTTAAGTCTCATGTGAGATTTCAAGAACCTTCATAGAGACTTAAATTAGTCACATCATCGTGTGGGATAATAAGTCCTCACAAATGTAGTGATTCTCAATTTTTATAATAAATAAATAATTTTTAAAAATAATGATATAATACATAATTTAAAAAAATTAATTAATTAAATTAATGTATTTAAATTGTAATCATATTTATCATTATATTTTTTAGTCATGTGTGATTTTTGAATCTCCGTAGACTTATAAGATAATTGTATTATTAAATCAATTAAATTAAAAATGTATTTAAATAAATTTAATTTTTTTATTGTGTGAGATTTTGGAATTTTCCTAGATATTTAGAATAATCATATTACCGTATAAACCAATAAAGTTTTATAGATATGATGATTAAGATTCTTTAAAAATATATATATACATGCTGAAATAAATTATTACTAACACTCAAAAATATAAATAAATTAAGTTGTTAAACTCTTTTATTATGTGAGATTTTGAAATCTTCACAGATATTTAAAACGATTGCAT